TTTTTATCTATTATGCTAGTAATTCATCATAGGTATTTCTTATGTGTAAAATATAAAAAAATAGAACTAATGGCTGGATACCACCTTAAGTGATGAATAAAGTGACCGAATTTGGTTAATGTTTTCTGAATCAATTGGATGTGTATTTTGTTATTTTTGAAAATTGTTTTCAACCAATTACGACAAAGTATTTTTTTTTTTTTACAATTGGAAAAAAGCTGAACAAACTATTTTTGGCCACAAAAACAATTAGGAACATATTCAATGTATGCTTTCGTGGATAAAATTCATAAAACAAAATACTCATATCAATGAACATATGGTAAGCCATATTAAAAGCAAGATTAATTATTGGGCTGCGATCTTAAATAGAATAGTACCAGTTATTTATTTTTTAGCCGCAAGAGTATTTTGAGGCCTTAATGAAGTTATAAGATCGTCAAACAACGGAAATTACTCAGACGTGTTAGAACTGTTGACTCAATTTGATCCAGGTTTAAAGCACTTTTGCAAATAAAGCAAAGTTAATGTTTCTTATTTGTCTACAACTATTTTTGAAAAGCTAATTGATATTATATCTCAAAAGGTTTTAACACACATTATAGGCAAAATAAAAAACAGCAAAATACTGGGGAATTATCGTAGATTCTACGCCTGCAATTTCTCACGTGGATCAACTTTCTGTGATATTTCGTTATTATCTAAATGGCCACGTGTATGAGCAATTTTTTTGTTTTTTATAAATTTAAAGCCACGAAGGTAAATCCTTGATTACTGATATTTTAGATCTACTGGAAAAATATGATATTGATATAAGCAGTTATCGTAGACAGGCATACGATAATGCAAACAATATGTTTGGTAAATATTCTGGATAATAAGCACATTTAAAAGAGCGGAGTAAGTTACTTTTTTATATCCCTTGCGCTGGGTATTCTTTAAACTTAGTAGGGCAATGCAGTATTAGTTAGTGCATCAACTCTATCAACTATTTTGGCGTTCTGCAGAGTTTGTATTCATTTTTTGTAGCTTCAAACACGGATAGGATTTATTGAAAAGAAAAGCATGCAACACTCAAGCACCTATCAGATACACGATGGTCATGTAGGTCAGATACTTTAAAAAGTTTAGTAGAAAATTTTGATGGGATTCATGTAGCATTATGTCTTATAGCTGAGGATACAGAAGAAAAGTCTGATACTCGTCATGAAGCTGTGTGTTTATTAAATAAGATCACTAAGCTAGAGTTTGCATTCATGGTAATACTTTCATGGTTTTACTTTCATGGTTTTAATTTCATGGTTGTACTTTCATGGTTTTACTTTCATGGTTTTACTTTGGCTACATTCATGGTTTTATTTTGGCATCACATACTTATGAGGTTTAATGAAGTTAGCAAATTACTTCAAAAAGTTGAATTAGATTTGCATACAGAAAGAAGTATGTTACTTTCACTAGTTGACTTTGTAAAAAATTTACGAAACGGCTTTACGAGATTTGAGAATGAATTAAAAAAACTTAGCTCGTTTATTGAAAAAGACTATTCTGATAAGAACAAAAGAAAAGTAATTAAAAAATTGAGCAACGGAGAAAACCAAGTTGATACTTTAAACATATCTGACAAGTTTTGTTACTATTTTGTTTCAGACAAATTGTCTGATAAATCTTGAGCTTGGTGGACATATCCAATAAAACCTAGAGAAATTTGATAGAACGCTATTTCTGACCACAATTAAAGTATTTAATTTTTTCAACTTGACTATTGCAGTTTGTTTTGACAACTTAAGACGTTTAAAAAATAGTGATTTTAGAAAAAATACAATAAATATAAGTCCTCACAATCATAAAATTAATAATGAAATTAAAAAATTAAAACGTAAACAAAAAAATTACGAAGAGTTGGAAGAAAGAATAGAAGCAATAAGATTAGAAGACGATTTGAAACTAGTAGTAGAAGCAGGATTAGAATTAAGAAGATTAGAAAAAAGATTTGTAAAGATATAAAAAATATAATAATTTTAAAAAAATATACAAGAAAAACAGAATAATTTAAATTATTTGACAATTTTCGAGTGAATACATTTTTTCTCATTATTGATAAACTTCTGACACAACTAACTATAATAAGTGGTGGTTACAGCCACATAAATAAGTTATTTGAATTTCTGTTAAAGCTATTAACTATTAGTACCATAGAATCGCAAATTAGCGCAAAAAAAAACTGTAGAAGTGAGCTAAAAGGATTTAGAAGATAGTTTCATTTTTGAAATATATTAATTTATATCATTATTAAAGTTGCAACCTCAAGGGTTTTTTTCTCATAAAAAAGATAAATCTGAAACTAAAAACACATTGATTCCTCTGCATATATGAAATTGGATTGTTGAAATCGATATTATTGATGTATTTCCGAATGTTTATATAGCATATTGTTTGTTTCTAACTATTCCCATAACAAATTACGAGGCTGAGAAAGATAATTTCCTGCTCTTAAAAAATT